GATCAATTCAGGTAGGAGGAGAAAAAAGGGTGTGTCTGGTTACTCTCTTCCTTTGCCTGGGTGAAACAGACACATGCAAAATGCAGCAATATCCTTCTGATGTGTACATTGCATGTATCCCTTTCTCTTTTTTTCTTTTTTCTTTTCTTTCTTTTTTGACAAAACCCCACTGGTAGCTCTGCAACATGTGATGGGCTCCTGTGGGCTCCTTTCTGGCTACATCTTCCTGGCTACAACCCTTGCTCCTATGGCTCCAACTGAGCTTCCCCTTTTTCACCTGAAGTAGTTCTTTTCCCTTTAAATAGAGGGAACCCACAGATCTTTCCCATACTCGCAGCCAGAACTCAACTTAGAGCAGAGTATCATGTGAGTACCCTCTTAATGTGTAAAATACTTTAATATTTCTACAAAATAATCATTCTTAACATAGTCATTTTCAAACTCTCATAGCCACATTTCGTTCCTTTTATGTAGATACCACTGAAAAAAAATTGTATCTCCTGAGGAGAACAAACTTTCAAGTGTATAATTTTGTAAGTATTCAAATGTGTTGTCTTATGGTATTTAATGGATATGTTCAACAAATATTGATGCAATAGCAAGTGTGAAGACTACTAATTTCTTAATGTGTAAAATACTTGAATATTAAGTATTTCTACAATATAATCATTTTCAACATAGTAATTTTCAAACTCTCATAGCCACATTTTGTTTTTTTGATGTAGACACCACTGACCCAAAAATATCTGTATCCCCTAAGGAGAATTTGTTCAAGTGTATAACTTTGTAAGTACTTAAATGTGTAGTAACTTATGATATTTAATGATACAGATGTTCTATATGTATGCTACTGAAGTAAAACATTGATTTGTACATTAATTTCAGTCAACCAGAGGAAGGCCTGAGGTAGGCCAAAACCGGTCATGGTCGGCTGATCCACAAGTTACTTATAAGAAGATACGACTGTACTAAAAATTTGCACCATATTGTTTGTTGTCGCTGTGAGATTAACAGTGCAGCATGTTTATATACTGTTGTTGAATTATATTATTGTTTATGTTATACAAGTGGTATTTTTGTTGTATACATCTTGACAGTGTCATAGGATGGGCAAAAAGGCCCATGTGATGAAGTCCTTAGGACCAGACCATGATTCTGGTAAATGTAGGATAAAATTCTCCCATCCAGGCAGCCAGTGGATTCGGCCATTTCCTCTGGATTATGAAAATCTAGGAATTACTTTGCTGAATAGCAAAGATTGAAGGGAAGAAGGTTAAGTATGGGATCTCACATACTGAAATTTGAGATCCCATCCCTAACCTTCTCCCCTCAGAACTTTACTTTTTAGCACATATCTGAGGAGATAAGATTAAGTATGGGATCTCACAACCTTGTAATCTTCTTTCAGCTTTTGCAGCAGGATCCATATTTGACTACGGGGAACATCACTGCCCTAGTATCCCTGAAGCCCTTTCTTTTTTTGCCAGTCACTTTTCAGCTTCACTGTGTCTTGGGAAAAGATTTTTCTGGGTCACATCCATTTTCTCAGCCTGCCTGTTTGACCAAAGTTGCAGATAGAAGAAAACCACACCTTTTCGAGCCTTCAAGAGGACAGCCATAAAAATGTCAGAAAACATTGGTTTACAAAACTATCCTTTCTCCTTTGACAGTGCTTTCTCTTGGTAATGTCTGACTTGTGGTTTTAAAAATTATTTTCCCTTGGTCAGTGGGATCAGCGGCACTATCCCATTAGTAAGCAATTGTTCATAAATGGCATGCAGTGTGGGTACTATAGAGACCAGAAATATTGCTAGGCTCCTTTTCTCTCAGTAATCCCATTGTAGAATCAGGCTATGATAGGCTCCACTACTGGCTTAAAAATGTTTGGTAGATTCAAGCTGATTTATTTTTAAGTAAACACTCAGAGGGCTGTGCTTCTGGATGAACCAAAAGCAAAACAATAAGATTTCATTATTTCTGCAAAGCTTAGTAGTGCCAAGCTTGTATATTGTACAATCACGCCTGTTCTTAATTTGAAACACTGACCTTCCAATTTCCCTTTATTTTAAATTGGCACAGGTACATAGTATTTGCAAAACGAACCTATATTCACAAACATTTAATTTAAACCTGTATTTACATTTACTAACAATAGTTCCCTTTCAGATTAAAAGGCTCCTCTACACACATAATTATATGCAAGTGGTTTTTTTCTATATTCTGGAACAAAGGAGTAATGCTGGCAAAATTAAACACTTCGTAATCTGTGTTTACTACCCATAAAACATATTTCTCCCCACTCCAAGTTCTCCCTTCATCTGCTTGTTCAATAGTCTCTTTTTATAGTGAAACAAAAAAATATCAAATATGAAGTCATTTAAAACTCCAAAGTGCACTTGTACACATTTAAAAACTGAACAGGGATGTTTCTCATATTGTCATCCAAGGACACCATATCACACACAAAAGTTTCAGCCCAGTTACAGTAATAGTCCTGTAACTGTGGAACCCGTACCCACAATTTCATTCACCTGAACCTGGAACAGGGAGGATGATCTCTCTAGGAATTTACTGTTTCCAGAAGTTATCACAAAATTGCCTTGGAGGATCAAACAAATTCTTAGAGAGGATACCTCTCAAAGGATTTCAAGGACCCCATCTACACTGATTGAATGTAGTTTCTAAAGTCTTATTGAAAGTCTGGTTTTCACAACCAAAAGTCATTACTAGGTTCTTGTGGTTTTTTTCGGGCTATAGGGCCATGTTCTATAGGCATTTCTCCTGACGTTTCGCCTGCATCTATGGCAAGCATTATCAGAGGTAGTGAAAAATTAGTTTTCACTACCTCTGATGATGCTTGCCATAGATGCAGGCGAAACGTCAGGAGAAATGCCTATAGAACATGGCCCTATAGCCCAAAAAAACCCACAAGAACCTAGCGATTCCAGCCATGAAAGCCTTCGACAATACAAAAGTCATTACAATTAATAGAGGCTCTCAAACATAATCCTTGGGAAACTAATAGTAGTTTGTGGTATAGTGGTTTGAGTGTTGGATTAAGCATCTCAGAGACCAGGGTCCAAATCCCCACTTAACCATTTAAACCCACTGGGTAATCTTGGGTAAGTCATGTTCTCTCAGTCTCAGAAGAAGGCATGGGCAAACCTTCTCAACTAGGCCTGGGCGGTTTCGTTCGTTAATTTTGTAATTCGTTAAATATTCGTTAATTTTAGCAATTACAAAACGATTACAAAACTTATTTTTAAACCCGGAAGTGTTTTTAAATATCGAAACGGCATGCGCCAAATATTTTTGTATTTCCGTCCATTTCGGAAATACGTAAGATGGCTAGATGCTTGCTGGGAGCTCTCCTCTCTCTCCTCTCCTTAGCCAGTCAGAGCCTGAAAGAGGAGGAGGAGGAGGAAGAGGAGAGGGCGGGGAAGGCGCCGGCTGAGCAAGCGAGCGAGAGGGCGAGCGACCCTCAGCGGGAAGGCGGCCCGTCCCTCCTTCCTCACCTTTGCGGTGGGTGTGCTTCGTTCTCCCAATTCCTTAGCGGAGGGCTGGGCTAGATGGCCTTTGGGGAGCCCTTCTCCCAATTTCGCATTGCTTCGGAGGAGCCGGGCCCGACTCGGCGGCAGCGCTTGAGGGCCCGCCAGAGTGAGTGCCTGCCTTCCCTCCTTAATAATAATTTCTCCTCCCTATTCTACTAAATTAATAATTAAATTAAAAAATATTGAAAAAATATTGAAAAAATATTGAAAAAATATTGAAAAAATATTGAAAAAATATTGAAAAAATATTGAAAAAATATTGAAAAAAAGGGCGCCATCTTTACAAAATGTTTTGTAAATATTAACGAAATTTCGTAAATACCGAACTTTTTTAAGGGAAAATTTTGTAATTATTTTAAATATCGAAACAAAAAAAAACCCCAAATACAAATCGATTTTAGAAACAAATTTTTGCGTTGTTACCCAGGCCTATTCTCAACAAATCTTGCTAAGAAAATCCTCTGACAAGTTCGTGTTAAAGTCTCCAGTAGTCAGGAACAATTTGAAGGCAACAGCAACATCAATATCTGCAAATATCTGCACCCAGGTACAACTGTTCAGAGCATGTGTCAGCCCACTATTCAAATAACTACTTGTTGATCAAAAGAAAGTCCAACATACTAAAACAGTAAGAACAAAACCTCAAGTTCAGACTAGAACCATATCAGGGGTCAAAATGGGAGGGAAACAACGTAGCAACCCCCTATCTCACCCAGAAGCTTAATTAGATCTTTCTATTTATTCACTTTTAGATACAGTTAAAACAATTCCATGAATTGTGTTCTGTCCAGTTTGGCCCTCAAGGTCTGTGGTTTTTCCTATTTGAATTCTTCAACATATTACTGAACAAAAATGTTTAACTTTGATGCCAAAAACAATGTTCTTCATGTGGACTAAAATCATGACACAGAAGAAGTGCTTTTCCATACATATCAGATATATGTTGTGGTGGTGTTTCTTATTGGAAAGGGGAAAGCAGGGTAAAAAGATATAAAGAAATAAATTACAAGTGGAGTAATATGTCAAATTAATTTTTAAGTGAGAAAAGCAGAGATTTGAAAAGATGCACATCACAGAGGATCAGCTTGGCGCTCTTGTTGTGTACTGCCTTGCATATAGTATATGAACCCTGCCAATCAGTGTCAACAGTTTATTAATATTTGACTGTAAGATTGTGAGATGAATCAAACTTTAGCTGTCTTGATAAGGTGTTGCTAAGCAACTTGCAGTCTGGCTGAAAATTAGTTTTCACAGCAACCTCTCACTCAATCAAGAAACAAAAAAAGTGTGTCCATTCCAAATGTTTTCCCTGTCGGTTAAACAAAAACCCCAAAGTACTATACCAAAACATGTCTTTGATCTACCTTCCTCTGCAGAAAACAATGAATACAGAACGTTCAAAGAAATGAAGACTCAGGAGACATTTCTGAAATGATTCATGCCACTTACCGTAATCGCTGTCATAGAATACTATAAATTTTTGCCAGCGCAGTTCAGTTACTAGCTTCAGCATCACATCATTGAGGCGAACAGGCGGCCTGGCTGCTAACGTGTATTCCTCCTCTTCCAGGCTAGGGTTTAGGTGGCAAGCTGTCCGTGGGGAACCGCCCGTGTTGCGCTGTACAAAGAGGTGGGGGATGTGCATGGCATCTGTCAAGGATTGCAGGGCGTTGGCAGAGGCACAACCAGTGGAGGTCACTAAGGCTAATATCCCCAGGGTCATCAGATCACAGGCTGAGGAGAACAAAAACAAACAAAACAATGATGAAAATCTAGAAAGGTGTGTCCAAGACCAGTCTGTTGACAAGGGTATATACTGAGGTATACTTGGAAAAATACCATTTTATCATGAATCAACATTAGTGTTTGGCTTTTGGTTTCTCATAGAAAGAGGCTGCAGATGGCTGGATTGCCAAAAACCAGGGGGGGGGGGTTTCTCCCATATTAAGTGGCCTTCCTTTGGTTAATGTGGATCAGCTTGTGTGCATTTTGTGACAACCCGCAGGTTGATCCTAAATGGTCAGTGTAGATGGGCCCAAGTCTTTGGAGACCAAGATTCAAATGCATTGGGTGACTTCAAGAAAGTCACACTCTCTTAGCCTCAGAGGTAGACAAAAACTTACACACTCTGAACAAATCTCACCCCCAAAACCAATGATAGGTTTGCTTTAGGGTAGCCATATCCTGAAATTACTTAAAGGCACAAAACAACAACAATAATTCAACCTGCTCCTCAGAAGCTAGGCCTAATGTATAAAAACATCCAAAACAAATGCTGGAAGTGCCAAACTCAGGTGGGAATATTTTACCACATGTGGTGGTCATGCCCCAAAGCAAGAAAATATTGGAAAACAATACAGGAAGCCTCTCAGAAGATATTTCAAACAACAATACAATTAAAACCAGAATATTTCCTTCTCGGCATTACGGATGAAGACATCTTGCTTGAAAAAACAAAGACAAACTATTTACCTACTTGACAACGGCCGCAAGGATAATATATGTCAAAAAGTGGAAACTAAAGGAATTGCCAACCAAGGAAGAATGGGAAGCTAAAGTATCCGAAATAATGGATATGGACTTATTAACATACTATTTAAAAGACCCGGAGGGCAAACCAATAAACCCAGCAGACTGGACCCTTTACATAAATTACAAGGAATCACAACGAAGCCCACAAGGACTTGAGACTCCCAAGTGAGTACAAGTCACAGCATTGAAACAAAAAAATAGAGATTACAAAAAAATCCAAAAAAAAAGAAGTGACCAACTTCAAACAAAAATACGGCACAAGAGCAAAAACCAAAATCACCCAGTGAAGATAAAGGAGGAAGTCAACAAAAAGAACCTGTATCTAATCGATTTTTAACTGCTATGTATATTTTTCTCTCTCTCTCTTTTCCTTTCCTTCCTTTTCTTTCTTCCTCTCTCCTTTTCCTTTCCCTCTCTCCTTCTTCTTCTCCTTCTCTCCTTAATCTTTGACCTCTATTAGCTCCCCTCCCCAATACATTCCCAACCCATCCTCACACATCCCTATATCCAACCATCCCTAACCATCCCCCCTCCATCTAGCCCTCTCTCTTCTTTTAAAACATTTGTAAGCAAAAATAAAATAAACATATTTTTAAAAAATAATAATTCAACCTGCTCCACAAAGCCCTTCTGAGGATGTCAGAAGGAGACACATATGTATAAGACTATCTAAAGTATTTGGGGAAAAAGAAATAAGACCTATTTTTCAAAGGCTTAGAGAATGCAAATGTATCACCATTTTCCCATCCAAAAAGCTTCCCTGTTAAATAATCTCATTATGAATGATTAGTGACCCACCTTCCAGTAGACTGGTGTAATATAAATAAGGATATTGCCTTTGGTCCTGGATGGAAATTTATGTCATCTGGTATTTTAACTTCACTAAATTACTAAAAAATATGTTGTTCTGAGGTAGAAATTACCAAATCTGGTGGATGGAGTGGTCCTCCATACTAGTTGCCATGTTTTTGCATTGTCCTGGATTACACATTCTAAGGAACTACAAAAAATTGGGTTATCCAAAGAGGCAAGCTCTTCACTCCTGGATGAATAAAGGTGGGCTCCCTTTATTGGATGTCTGCTTGGAAACACTCTAAAAATCTTTTCTGATCTTGGAGACTGTGAAGGGATAGGCCTGGTTAGTACTTGGCTGGAAGACCACCAAAGAATGCTAGGTGCTGTAGACTGGCAAAACCTTCCCAGTATTCCTTACCTAAGAAAGCCCTAAGTAGGTAATTGGTGTCACCAAAATGAGCCCTATGAAGCTTATTGTTGCCACCAAAATGATAGGCATCTTGAGAGCACATACACAAAACTCGATCCCATTCTGGGTGAAACGTGGGGTATAAACCCAATCAAACAACCAGTTGGCCATGTTGAAGTTAACTTAAATCACAACAGATTCTGGTAAGCTCCAGAAATGTTTGGGGTAAATCATATCTTCTTCACATACTGATGCTGCCACTCTACAGCCTATTTCTTATTTTAATAATGAAAGATTGAAAAATGTGATGGAGAGCCCTATGGCCCTCCTCTTAGCTTTAGTTGTCCTCAAACATTTGGACCCTGACCAGTTCAAGGAGAAATAAAAAGATCAAGTCCTTTTGGATACTAAGTCATAAAAAAATTGAAATGATCTTAAGAACAAAATTTGAATTAAAGCCGGAATATCTTTTGCTAGGCATCACGGACTTTGACATGGACACAAATACGAACAAGATTTTTTTTTCTATCTAATATCAGCAGCAAGAATAAAATTGGCCCAGCTGTGGAAATCCCAGGAAATCCCCTCGGTAGAGCAGTGGACGTTGAAAGTTCTGGATATTATGAATATGGACCTTCTTACTCAAAGAATATCGCAAAAGAGTAACACGACTAAAACAACAAACTGGAATAACTTCATCCAATACTTAGAGGAGGTTAAAAAGAATAATTAATAATAATAATAATAATAATAATAATAATAATAATAATATAATAATAACAATAAAAATAAAAAACAAAATAATAAAAGAAAATAACAATAATAATAATGATGATGATGATAATGATGATGTAATAAGACTAACGACAACAACAACAATACCAACGTCAAATCTATTAGACAAATTACCCGCAGAATAAAAGAAAATTGCTGGCTTATAAAAATGAGGCAAAACTTAAAGAAAAATCGGACTTCATTTTCTCCACAAGAAGAAAAGACAAATAGTCCCAAGAAGATGGACATCAGATTAATCCCTGAACAACTTGGGAGTGCCTTACAAAATGGACTTAATTCCCTTCCCATGAACGTGTTGAGAGAATGAGTGTGTGAGAGAGTGAGGTATATCCCCCCCCCACTTCATTTTTTTTTTGGGGAAGTCCTACTCTATGGGCCTCCCTTTCTCTTCTTCTGCACTTTCCTATCCCAACCTAATTGTTCCACCACTTTTTATGTATTCAAAAATCCACAATTATTTTTTTTTAAGGAGAGGTAATAGTATGGGTCTATGAGGGACCCAAAGCAATACTCTACCAACTGATATGTTTCATTGAATCTAATTGATGAGACAACCCTACTTGGCTGGCTGGCACATGGTATTTTTAGGGACTTCTTTAAAAGGTAGTACAGTTTTTTCTTTACCTTGCAACAATTCCTCTAAATGCATCTCTAAAAAAAAAGTTCTGAAAGCCTGCTTTAAAAGCAAAGTGAAGAAATGAATGTAGAACATTTATTAACACCATCATATATGTATTTTTAAAATCTGGAAGAGCAGATGTACTTTCAAAGGCCTACGAATTTCAAGCCACCTGCTACTCGAGACTGACTGTTGAGCAAATTCTAAATGTTTTTTGTAGCTTGTTAAACTGATTCAGCCATTACTTGCTTCAAACAAAGGCAGCACAACTGTGGCATGTGTGTGTTCTTTCCCATTTTTCTTTTTTACAAAAAAAGGGCACAAAGAATTCAGTATTGTCAATTCCAATCGCTTTTCTTTTTTAAGTTACAAGAAACAATTTACAAAGGCAATGCGAAGGCAGCATATATTGACTGAATATTTTAATATAGCCTCAGCAAAACCGGCAGTTATCTGCCCTGTGTCTAAATGGGCCAAATAAAACATTCTGCTGAGAGCGAAATCCAGGTGACATATGGCCAGTTATGCAGCAGAAATACTACTTCCAGTCTTTAATCTATTATGAGAAGAACTGCCCATTACAGGCAGTTTCCAAGTTATAAAATAGGTTCTGTAGGTTTGTTCATGTGAATTGTGGATTGTGGCGCAGCTGGCTGAGTGTCAGCTGCATTAAGATCACTCTGACCAAAAGGTCATGAGTTCGAAGTCAGCCCAGGTTGGAGTGGGTTTCCAACCAATTGTGTAGCCTGTTCTCGACCTTTGCAACCCAAAAGACAGTTGCATCTCTCAAGTAGGAAAATAAGGTACCACCTTAAAGTGTGGGGAGGCTAAATTAACTAATTTATGAGGCCATAAAAAAAGACTCCAGCAAAAGCATGCGGGGAATGTGGAAGTACTTCATCAGTGTAGCAGATGGACGATGAAAGCGACAGCTCCCCTGATGGCCAGAAAAAGTTAAATAGCCTCTGTCTATGTCTGTATATGTTGTATGTCAAAGATTGGCATTGAATGTTTGCCACATATATGTACACTGTAATCCGCCCTGAGTCCTCTGCGGGGTGAGAAGGGCAGAATATAAAAGCTGTAAATAAATAAATAAATAAGAACATGCACATTTTTAAGTGTAATTCTAGCCACATGACACACAGAGCTTTGGATAGCATAGGGAATGCTTAACACCCTTTGTTTGTTTTGATGTCTGTGCCCCTGTTCAGAAGATGTCACCTCACTTTCTGTCCCTGTGATCATTAGATTTTGCAAATAAATTGGCTTGATGTGGAAACTGTGACACAGTTAAAACATATAAAAAGTAAAATGAGAATGAAACAAAATCAGTAATTGAAACAATTGAATTAAAACACAATTATAAATTAAAATTTTAAAATTTGTCAAAAATAATTTAGCACCCCCTAGATCAGGGGTCCTCAAACTATGGCCCGGGGGCCAGATACGGCCCTCTAAGGTCATTTACCCGGCCCTCACTCAGAGTCAACCTAAGTCTGAAATGACTTGAAAGCACACAGCAACAACAACAACAATCCTATCTCATCAGCCAAAAGCAGGCCCACACTTCCCATTGAAATA